ACTCATCAAGAGGGTGCCCTTCTTCAGGGGCCTCTACCATGTATACTTCTTCCTCTTGTTCGAAGGTATGCCCTTGTTCAGGGCCGTCGAGTATATCTACGTCCATGGCTTCTGTTATGATGACATTAACAGTGTGGAGCTTGAATTTTCACAGAGAGTCGAGGTAACATGCTTTTGAGCCCATCTGGTAGCCTCGAACTGTAGCAATCACATGCTTAGTTGGAAACTTCATGTACAAGTAATGGATGGAGGTGACTGCCCAAAGATCTTTCAAGGTGTGTCGGCCCAATACTCCATGGTAAGTTGATCTGTGGTCTACCACCAGGAACTCCATGAAGCGGTGGGCCACTGGGGCCTAACCCCATCTCGACAGGAAGAGTAATTCTTCCTCGTGGGACGATGTTGTCACCGGTGAATTCAAATAGTGGGTCGATCATGGGGATCAACCCATGTTCAATCTGCATCTTGTCAAAGGTGGATCCAAATAGTATATTCATTGAGCTTTCATTATCGATGAGCATGCGCTTGAGTCCGTTTCTAGCCATTACAGCTCTCACTACTAACGCATCACAGTGGGGATGATGAACTCCTTGTGCATCTTCTTGAGAGAAAGTGATTGAGACCATCGTGTTGGCATCTTAGGTTTAATTGACATTGTAGGTAATCATTGGTGAATCTTTGCTTCCCTTGTGTAGTTCCTCTGGGCGTTCCTGGTATTGCCTCCGATGTGAGCTCCTCCTATGATTATATCAATTTTCTTGATGACTTGGCCACCAGATAGGGCTTGATTCCTATGCCTGGATTCTCCTCTATCCTTGGATTCTCTCTTCCGGGGTGACTGATCTCTATATTGCATTTCTTCCCTATTCAGGGAGGTGGATCTGCTAGGATTTTCTCTCCTACTTAAGGAGCATGTGTTGCTTTGGTTTGAGGATCGAGGAGCATCCCTGCATTCGCTGGCGTTGTGTCCATAAAGTTGGTAAAAGGTGTAGAACCTCGTCCCTTCTAGGGGTCTGTTTGATCGCTTCTTCTTCTTTTTTTGATTGCTATTCATACCCCCATATGGTCCCGCCTTGGCAGGGACATTCTCCTATGCCAATACCAGCACTGCATTTATAATGGAAGTAGCCAACGCTTGTTCGGATGTGGAAGCTATTGTGTGTCCTGCTTGGGTCCATTGCTGGGTGACAAGGTGTGCTGCCGGTCTTCGACCTACATACCTCTGAGGTGGAGGGAGTCCCTGCGCTGCATGATTTTGGTGGTCAATCATCTCTTCATTGACAATCTCCACTCTCATCATTTCTACCAGGTTGTCATAGGTAGTGGGATTTTTGTACGTACATTCTTCCAGAACAAAGTGTTCATGTTGAAACCACCTTTCAAAGCTGAAAGGGTCTCTCTGTCAATGACTTGCTCACAATATGTGATTTCGTCGGTAAACCTGGCAAGTTAGCTTTTCAGCGTCTCTCTAGGGGCCTGCCTCATTTCTTGTAGGCATTGCACTGGGGCCTCTCCCTCTCTTCGTGAGAGGTACTGGTTCAAAAATGTCTTCTTCAAATCTAGCCAACTCCTAATGCTCAGGAGAGGCAGTCTACTGTACCACACTTTGACGACTCCTACAATGGTTAGATAGAAGGCCCTGCATTTCAATGTGGGTGAGGCTCCTCTGAGGCTCATCTGTGTCATGTACTTGGTGAGGTGCTTTTCTGAGCCCCCCTTTTCCTCATACTTTGAGATTTTAGGGGGCATGAAATTTTGAGGCATTGGGAAGCTCCAGATCTTCTTTGAGAAAGGGAGATTGTCATCATCATCATCATCAATTTCATAAGATTGATATGGTCCATCAGAACCTTCATCATCTTGCACGTTCTGTGGAGGTGCTCCACTCGACTGCCCCAATCAACTAAGTTCTTTCTCTCCCGCCTATTTCTAGGTGGAGGAGGTGTTTGTTCTTCCTATTCTTGTCGAATCGATCTTTCCATGGAACGGACCCTATCGTTAGGGCTCCGTCCAATTCGGTCGAAGATATTGACTGACCTTTCTGATTCGTATTCTGGTGAGAAGTTCTCTCCTAGTTGTGGTTCTGCTGGTCAGCTCCCTTGTGCACAAGACATGGCATCTACATCCATTTCTCTTTCGAGGGGATGTTTCCTGCGCTGGCTCGAATGGCCTCGGCCATGAGATGCCGGAATTTCTTGCGCTGGGTAATACCTTTGGGACATTTGGAAGCCCTGATGACCTTGGGCCTGCATGAAAAATTCACGCATCGCCATATTCGGAGCTGCAATATCTCTCATGCTTGCAGCTATTTGAGTTATTCTTTCAGTGAGCATGAATGTTCTTTCACCTTAGCGACGTCGGTGATAGGGTATCCGGCGAGTGACATTGTTTCGAAGCACCTCTTCTTCAGAGGCGTCTCTAAACTCATGATTTGCATCCTCATTACTAGAACTCATCTTGTCTGCTTCTTTCTCAAGGGTGTTAATAGCTTAGATTGTAGGTTGACCTTTTTCTTTTTCAAGAACGTGCCCTTTTCGGGGTAAGTCGACAGTTTCTCGATGATTTTTCAGTGGAAAATGTGGAAATTTTGGACGGGAAGTTTTTCCACAGATAGCGCCAATCTGTTGACCTCGCGAATTGGACCCTCCACATGGCCAACGGGTAGCTACTCCACGTAATCCTCCCTACCACATACACGGTCAGAAGCACACGCCCGAAACCAACGGGGGTGGCGCGGCCGCATACACTCCGACGGTCAAGTCAGTGTTGGGTGATTGGAACAGTGCTCAAGTTATACAAGAGTGTGGAGGAGAATATATATTTCTTAGTGTGAAGAGCTAGGTTGAGAATTTCATTACCTTTGTCTCTTACCAAACCTTGGTTATTTATAGATGTAGAGTATCGTTGGATGTGGAACATGTGTATGCATCTGATGGTGTGAGGCGTCCGCTCAGAGGCATCAATCAGCCGCGTCTAGAGTGGAAGGGCAATTAATTCTTCTAAGTTAAGTTGACGTAAAGTTGATACGTCACATCAACTAAACTTATGGAGACGTCACATCAATTAATCCTTGGAGGCAGAGAGGATCTCGACACAGATATCTTTCTGAAAGTGGCGGAGGAGGGATCTGTTAAAGAAGCACTTCGGAGTGCCTAACGCTTTGGCTTCAGGGGGCACTTCGACTGATTCAGTGGATCGGGTCGTGGGATCACTTCGGATAGCTTCGTGGAGTGGTGTGCTTGATATTCCGAAATAGTTCGATTAGGGGCGTAACACTAATCAAGCTCAGGCAAGTTGAGCAACGAAAATCTTGCTCAAGTTGTTGTCAGCCCTATATAGTAGATGAAAATGCATTTTTCAGTAAAATATTAAATAGAATTGGCAAGATGTCCCTACCAAGGAACAAGCTGAGCTAGAAATTTTGGAAACGATTTAGCTTGCACTAAACTCGCCCCATATATAAGCATGACCTGACTTGCATGGTGGAAAATAATGAAAGGAAATATGTTGCCTTACTCTATTAACAAAAGGAACAATTCTAGTATCCCTTTCTGTTTTGTTAAACAAGGGAAAATTGTAGCAATAGTTTCTAATATTTTCATTTTTTGCATACTTTAATCCTAAGCTTCATTTTGCACTAGTGAAAGTCTTTAATATTTCATAAATATGCACCTAAGATTCATTTGGACGGAAACCATCAAAAACACCATCAGTTGACCAAAAAAAAATTAAGGAATCAATATCCAATAAAATCGTCTAGAACATAGTCCAAAACACTGTCCAGAAACGTATCAACATTCAATAAAACCGTCGCAGTAGCAGATAGTTTAAGAAATTTTACCAGTTAACTAACAGTGTTTTGAATGATTTCAATCCAGATGAACCTCAAGTGTATATTTATGAAAGGTTAGAAACTTTTACTAGTACAAAATGAAGGTTAGGAACCGCTATTGCAATTTTTCCTCAAAAAACCAAAAGAATTTATATTTATTTTAACATTAAATAGACATCAAAGCCTAGCTAATGTAACGTTAAATTAAATGTATGGTCAATTAAATGAATTACGGCAACTATTTATTAACTAACATATAATGTGCATTGATGGCAGTTGCTCTTTTAAAGTAACAGCACAAAGGGTTTATTCGACAGATCTTTTGAAAAGTCAGAAATATTTAAGAAGTTGCTTTTCAATGAAATGTTAACATATTTTTCAACATAATCAGTTACGCCTAATTAATTTGAGGTACTCAAATTAATGGTCTGATTAATTAATTAGCACTAGGAACAAAAATAAAGAAAAAACCTTGGAATTTTTTATAGCCAAGTCCACGTGCGTCACACGCTACCTGCCATACCGTTTTATAAGTACGTGACGGGTTCACGTGGATTCAGGCGCGTATTATTAACACAATGGCTTTCACGAGAAAATCATACCACCCCAGTCAATGGTCAACGGTAAATTAAAGTTCCTTTTCAATAAGGAGTTACGGTTGAACGGAGAAAGCAAGATTTGACTTAACTCAAGCTCTGCCGTGTTTGGTTCAACTTTATAGAACATAAAATGCAACATTTAAATTATGTATTCAGACATCGATTCGATTAAGGTTAATGGTCAAAGATTAAAATTGATGGTGAAGTAAATTTTAGCATGAAACCCACCTGTTTTTCGTGGAATGTCTAGTGTTATTTATTATTATTATTTTTTTTGGAGATTTTAAGCTCTTGTTTGGTTCTACCAAAAATTAGATTTATGTTAAATTGATAAAAGTTACATATCTCATTAAATTGAGGACTGGGGTGACCCTACCTGTCCCCTGCCATTCGAGGCCCAAATATTATACTCATTTCCGGTTTTGTTTTCTTATTTACATTTACTTATTAAAAATGAAAAAAAATAAATTGGAATATTTAATTAAGTTTTGAGGTAGCAAACAGGTCCTTAATGTCTCAGTTACAAAAGGCAGTATTGCAGTAAGTGTCCCCTGTTGGTTTAGCGAAAATGGGCGTGCAAATGCAAAAGGAAATCAAGTGTGAAAGCTAAATCTCATCAAATGATCCACCCAATTAATAGCTCCATCTCTGACACTACCATCATTGAATATCTGTCCTGTATCTATACCTCCTTATACTGTATCTATATATTGTATTGCTCTATAAAGCTGTTAAAGACTAGACCAACCGAACCCATTTCACTGTTTCTTTTCTTCATCTGGACCTGACCTACATGTATAGCTCTAGAAATAGAGAAGAGGGTTAAAGATGTCTCAGAAATGTGATGATTTACGGTTGAGTTTGAGTTTGAGTTTGAGTTTGAGATGCCCACAGAATGTTAATCCACCGCCACCGCCACCGCCGCTGGCTCCTCCACCACCACCACAACCACCGTTTCCATTGAGCCTGTTGCAATCTCCTTTGCCTTTCATGCAGCGGCAGAATCAGAAGTCTTCAACCGCTGATCCGTTTCAATTATCTGCTGGTAAATACTGATTGGAATGGTTCATTACTTTATTATTATTTTTTTTTCCATTTTTTATATATTCTTTTTTAGTAAATCTGCTTATGCTGGATTTCTTTCAGATTATGAGTCGGTTTACAGAATCATATCTTGTGCATGTAAATCAAATCTAACGTTTTTTTGAAAAATTAATCTTCTATTTTAGATCGGCATGTTGAGGGGAGATCGTTTCTCCGGGGGATTGACATGAATAAACCGATAACTCTAATGTTTACTATTTACAAATAACATTATTTACCTTGCGAAAAATGTATATTTTGGTTAGGGGTGTTAAGTGAGGTGGCTTCTCTTTAAACTAATTGTTGACCTTGCGAATTGGACTCTCCAAGTAGCCAACGAGTAGCTACTCCACGTAATCCTCCCTACACATAACAACGCACGGTCAGAAGCACACTGCCGGAACCAGCGGGGGGTGGCGACGACTGCATATACTCCGACGGTCAAGTCAGTGTCGGGTGATTGGAACAGCGCTCAAGTTATGCAAGAGTGGGGAGGAGAATATATATTTCTTAGTGCGGAGAGCTAGGTTGAGAGTTTCATTACCTTGGTCTCTTGCCAAATCTTGGGTATTTATAGATGTAGAGCACCGTTGGATGTGGAACATATGTATGCATCTGACGGTATGAGGCGTCCGTTCATAGGTGTCAATCAGTCGCGTTTAGAGTGGGCGGGCAATTAATTCTTCTGAATTGAGTTGATGTAAAGTTGATACTTCATATCAACTAGACATATGGAGACGTCACATCAATTAATCCTTAGAGGCAGAGAGGATCCTGACACAGATATATTTCTAAAAGTGGCGACAGAGGGATCTGTTAAAGGAGCACTTCGGAGTGCCTAACGCTTCGGCGTCAGGGGGCACTTTGGTTGATTCAGTGGATTGGGTCGTCGGATCACTTCGGATAGCTTCGGGGAGTGGTATGCCTAATGTTCTGAAGTGGTTCAATTAGGGACGTAACAGTGGTCCTCCCAAGTTCATGCACGAATATTCATATCATGTCTGGACTTATTTTCCCGATTGTGTATGCCGAGCTTAGAGTAGTGACTAGGGATTCTGTTGAAGTCCTGATGTGAAAGGGCGCATCCAACAGATGTTCCGAACACCCGCTAGCTTAGGCTTAGAGATAACCGAGGCATTGTTGGGTTATGATTCTGTTGGGGGAGGAGGGGATCTGCTTTCGGGGCGCTGACCCATAGTGGACGACTCGTTGGGAGATGACTAAAGTTTTGAAAAGCTGAGGGAATGCAGTGGCCAAGGCGATGACCCACAGGGGACTTCGCGTCGGGTGAGTTGAAACTTTGTAAAGTTGGGTGAAGAGCTCATCTGCCACCGATACGTTGACCCACAGGGGACGATGCGTTGGGAGATGGCTAAAACTTTGAAAAGCTGAGGGAATACAGTGATCGAGGCAATGACCCACAGGGGACTCCGCGTTAGGTGGGTCGAAGCTTTGTAAAGCTGGGTGAAGAGCTCATCTGCCACCGATGCGCTGACCCACAGGAGACGACGCGTTAGGAGATGGCTAAAACTTTGAAAAGCTGAGGGAACGCAACGATCGAGGCGATGACCCACAAGGCGCTTAGCATCAGGTGCGTCAAAGATTTGTAAAGCTAGGTGAAGAGCTTTATCCGAGGTGAATTGGGACGATTTGTCCCTGATCTGACGCATCTTATTATGACGTTAATTGATGCGACAGTTGTTACGTATTTTCAATGTGATAGTTGGACGTCCTGCCTATTCTCAGAAAAAGGGCTACTGCAGCTATTTATTGTTGACGACTGGTGTTGTTCGAGGTGATGCGTTTTATGCATGCGTGAGGGACACAATCAGATCTTGGGCTTTGATCAATCTGGCATTTCATTTCTATGATCCAAATTTGTGATGAGATGAACGGCCTAGATTGACATCGTTTGAATTCAACGATGGAGATCGTCTAAGGTCTCTTATAAAAGGAGGACTTAGTGCCATTCAAATGTTTTCACCTTTGCAAACTCAGAATCCCTATTGCTCTCAAATTTCTTGGCGATTTTCGACGAGTTTCCAGTCTCTTTGTGATCTTTGGTGACTTTAAGGAGTTGGTCTTGATCTTTCTTGTGTTAGGCCACCCACTCCAGTCGACTTTCGTAAGTTTTCTTGAGTTTTTCACTTTTTTTGAAAAGATATGGCCTCTGAGGATAATGGTGTTCTGGAGGGGACCTAGAGGTTGTCAGGGTAGATGAGCCCATTTTGGCCACTTTGATTGAAATTTTCGAGGCGATTATAGGGGGAGAACATCTGAAGACGACCAGATAACCTTGTAGATACTTCGATTCATTAGGGGACACATGACTATCCTTCCAAATTGAAGTTGGCCGACCTGGTTAGACTTAAGACTTAGTATAGGATTTTGGATAGTGTGGGTCTCATATTACCAGGGCCAGATGAGCGAGATTGCTATCCTAGGTCGGGGTGTGTGGCAGTTAGCTAAGCCATCCTTATGGTGGGGCTCAGTGATATAAACCTGCGTAGGCAAACGCTACGGAACCCACGAACAAAATGGAAATCTTCCCAAGAAAGCCAAAGCAAGATTTTGGATTCGAATTCAATAAATTTGGAACCCAGCAACCCCCAATAACCAACAATGTGCGGACCTCTTGATTACACAAAATTATGGAATCTCACCCGGTTGATTTGAACGCCACAAGAATTATATCTTGATAAATCTAAAAGTTGTTCAATTGGAAGAACAAAGAGAAAGCAATTAAGCATTTCAATTAATCAATATGTTAAAAGTCTTTTTTACAATAAAAATAATAAGAGTATTTATACTAGTCCTAAGAATCTAGGTAATTTCATGCATAATCTCCTAAATAAGGTAAGAAATCAATTAAATATAGAATTCTAACAAAACTAGGAAAATCGCAAAAAAAAAAAAAAACGCGTCTGAAAATAACCATGCAGTCGCATGGTTCAATTCCATGCGGCCACATGGAATTGAAGTTTGGCCTCTTTCAACTCTCGGCCTAGGTCTGTGCGACCGCAGGCCATTTGTGCTGTGCGATCACACAACTTTGGCTCTCCACTCTATTTTTGTCCGCCTTTAACACATTGATCCAAGTCTCTTGGGCCTACGACCCCAACATGAAACTTGTCCCATTTGAAGTTCTAAACATGGTTTCATCAATAGTTGCCTTGACGAGCAATCTCATCACATCTTTTACTCGCTTCGTCCTTACTCGAGTCATTGGACCGCCCTCGACTATCAACGGATCTTTCTTAAGGCTTGATGTTGGACTTGACTTCGACGCTTGCGGCCCTTGGCTCACATCATCCCCTCCCTCTTCGAAAGGATTCGTCCTCGAATCTGTACTTGCATCAAAGAGAGAAAGACCAGACACATTAAAAGTGCTGAAACGTTATACTCACCTGGAAGATTTAATTTGTATGCGTTGTCATTGATCTTCTCAAGCACTTGAAATGATCCATCTCCTCGTGGTAACAACTTTGATTTTCTTTGTTCTGGAAACCATTCTTTCCTGAAATGTACCCAAACCAAATCTCCTGGTTCGAATGTAACAATCTTCCTGCCCTTGTTTGCTTGCTCTGCATAGTGCTTACTCTTCTTCTCAATTTGCTATCGTACCTTTTCATGGAGTGACTTCACCAGCTCAGCCTTTCTCTTCCCATCCAAGCTACCTCGTTCATTCACAGGAAAATGTATTAAATCATAGGTGTTATAGGATTAAAACTATAAACAATTTCAAATGGAAAAAACGATGTAGTGGAGTGTGTGGCCCTATTTTATGCAAACTTTATGAAAGGTAAACACTCTTCCCAATTCTTCAAATTCTTATTAACCATGGTGCGCAATAGTTGTGTCATGGTCCTATTTACTACTTAGTTTGTCCATCGGTTTGTGGGTGACAAGTTGTAGAAAATAGTAATTTCGTACCTAACTTATTCCACAAGATCGTCCAAAAGTGACTAAAAATTTTTACATCCCTATCTGACACAATATTTTTAGGTACTCCATGCAAGAGCACAATTTCTTTAAAGAACAGGTCTGCAATGTTAGTGGTGTCATTAGTTTTGTGACATGGAATGAAATGTGCCATCTTACTAAACCTATCCACCACTACAAAAAATCGAATCCCGACCCTTTTTTGTCCTAGGTAAACCTAACACAAAATCCATTGAGATGTCTACCCAAGGTTCACTAGGTACTGACAAAGGTGTATAAAGCCCATGAGGTAAGACCCTAGATTTAGCCTGTTTACAAGTTATGCATCAACTACAAATTTGTTCCAAATCAACTTTCATTTTAGGCCAATAAAAATGCCCAGTTAATATTTTTAAAGTCTTTACTACGCCAAGGTAACCCATTAGACCCCAACTATGTGCTTCTCTAACCAATAGTTCACGCATAAAGCAATTAGGAACACATAATTTGTTTTTTCAAAAAAAGTACCCCTCATACTTGAAGAACTTATCCACAGCCCCCTTATGACATGAATTGTAAATGTTGAAAAATTTAGAATCATTAGCATATATGTCCTTAATGTACTAAAAACTAAGTAATTTTGCACTTAAAGTAGTTAAAAACACATACCTTCGCTACAATGCATCTGCTACTACATTTTACTTACCTTATTTGTAACGAATGACATATGAAAAAATTTCTATGAATTCCATCCAGCGTGCATGTCGCTTATTTAACTTACCTTGACCCCGCAAATATTTCAGTGATTCATGATCAGAATGAATTACAAACTCTTTTGGCCACAGGTAATGTTGCCATGTCTCCAAGGCTCGAATAAGTGAATAGAGCTCCTTGTCATACGTAGGATAGTTGAGAGCTGCTCCACTTAGCTTCTCACTAAAGTAGGCTATAGGTCTCTTATCCTACATTAAGACTGCTCCAATACCTATTCCTGATGCATCACATTCAATCTCGAAAGTTTTGTCAAAGTTAGGAAGTGCTAAAACGGTGCTTTACACAAACAATCTTTGATGATGTTGAATGCATGCTCTTGTACTACCCCCATTGAAACCCCACATTTTTCTTGACAATCTCAGTTAGTGGTGTGGTGATTGTGCTAAAATCCCTGACAAAACGCCTATAAAAACTAGCCAATCCATGAAAACTCTTGACCTCAGTTATGTTTTTAGGTGTCGGCCAATCTTTAATAGCTTTTATTTTCTCTTCATCTACCTCTATATCATTAGCACTAACCACAAAGCCTAGAAACAAAACTCTATTCATGCAAAAAGTACACTTCTTAAAATTGACATAAAGTTGTTCCTTTCTCAAAATCACAAGCACACATCGACAAGCTCATCAAGATTCTTGCTATAGATTAAAATGTCATCAAAATAAACTACAACAAATTTTCCAATGAAAGCACGCAAAACATGGTTCATTAACCGTATAAAAGTGTTTGGTGTATTTGTGAGTTAAAACGACATGACTAACCATTCATACAATTCATATTTAGTTTTAAAAGCCGTTTTCCATTTATCACCCTCCCTCTTGCGAATTTGATGATACCCACCTTTAAGATCAATTTTACTGAAAATACATGCACAATGTAGCTCATCTAGCATATCATCTAACCTAGAAATTGGGTGACGATACTTTACCGTAATGTTGTTGATGGCTCTGTAATCTACGCATATTCTCCAAGTTCCATCTTTCTTTCGCACCAGCAACACAGGTACTGCACATGGACTCATACTTTCTCGTACATTTCCTTTGCTCATCAATTTCTCAACTTGCCTTTGAAGCTCCTTTGTCCCCTTTGGATTATTTCGATAAGCCGATGGATTCGGAATGACAGCGCCAGGTATAAAATCAATTTGGT